ACAACCATGTTACAATTGCAGTTTTTCACTTAACAACTATTGCAAGAAAGGTCATAAAATGGGGCAAAACTCATTTAACAACTGCCGTGCTCAGCTACAGAAATTTGAGCTCAAGTTGAGGACTACCTGTAGTGATGTATTTATTTGACTGAGAATTTAAATATGAGCATCTATGGATATATCGGCACGGATACAGATGCATAGACGACTAAAGGAATACCGTTGGGTTAAACTTACATCTCATTCTGTACATTGCTCTCCGTTACCACAATAGCAATAGCAGTTAGACTTATATACCGCTTATATACCGCTTCATGGCGCTTCATAGGGCTTTCAGCCGTCTCTAAGCGGTTTACAGAGTCAGCATATCGCCCCCAACAACAATCCGGGTCCTCATTTCACCCGGAAGGATGGAAGGCTGAGTCAACCCTGAGCCGGTGAGATTTGAACAGCCGAACTGCCGAACTAGCAGTCAGCTGAAGTAGTCTGCAGTACTGCACTCTAACCACTGCACCACCTCGGCGGCAGGGGTGTCTTCAGCTTCTTCTTCCACCTCTCTCCCTGGATGTGAATTGTCTTTCACTCCCCCCCCCACCTGCATTTTTCATCCAGAGGGCACTTGAAGGACATTCACCCCCCCATTTAAACTTGAGAACACAAGCCAACTGCACAGATGATCTCTATGGACTTAATTATGCCACGGCTGACCATCACTCTGTTTTCTGACAGGTCAGAATGGTTCAATGAGCTGATTCCAATCTTCTGGAGAAGACGCCCAGAAGATGCTGGGAGGTCAGAGTCCCAGGAGGACGTTCTCTGGCTCAGTGGACATCTAATACATAGCCTTCGTCTGCCTTGCCAAGCCAAACACATATGCTGAGAGACACACACACACATATGTTCCTCCCGAGACTGTGCTAATTATAAATAGAGATTGCAGCACCGAGACACCTCCAACCAGAATGGGCTCCCTCTCTCTGAACCGTGTGTGCTGCAGTTTTCATAAACAATTATTTTAATTGGAGAGCAACCTCCGAAGCCAAAGTTCTTTGTGGAAACAAGGCAGCCTGTGGAAAATAATAATTTCCACTCAGCAGAAGCTCAACAAATGGACGGCCTTGTCTTCCGCTGCAGTTAAAAGTCAGGGCCGTTTCCAACTCCGGAACTCAGCACCGGAGCTCAGGATACCTTTGGGCCACTTGAGCAAAAATCCCTTGGCTGCCTCTAGGGCATCAGGATCAGACCCACAGGGAGAAGCCCTTGACCTGGGCATTCAAACAGAAAAGGGCCTCAAGGAATGCAGCCATGAAGAACCAGGGAGCAGCCATCTTGGGAAAGACAAGAGGCATGGGTTCTCTTCCCACAAACCTTGAACCACACCTGGTCATGTGAGGCTGAAGCGGGGAAACAGAGCAGAAGGATGGAGTGGAACTTCAGCTCCTCCTCCTCCTCCTCCTCTTCTCCATCACTGGTCCCATCGCAGCCATTACTCTCAGCCTCCTCTTCAAGTCTGGGAGTTGGTCCACATACCTCCAAGCTGCCACGGTTGAGAAACATTGACCCACCTTGACTCCTGGGTCAACCGGCCATTGGCCAGTCCACAGAATTGGCTTCTCAGGAGAAGCTCCATGTCAGGCCTGCAGTCATATTCCTTTCTGGATCTTTGGCCTGCCACACTCTTTCTTATTTTACTATGCTGTTTCATTAGTGGGGAATTGGGAGGGGGGNTTAGTCCTGGCGGGAAACTCCCACGCATGCGTAGTCCGATCAGCAGTTGAACTCCAGAACCTTCCTCCAGCACAATTAGTAACTCCCACGCATGCGTAGTCCGATCAGCAGTTGAACTCCAGAACCTTCCTCCAGCACAATTAGTAACCCCTCCCAAATACCATGCCCTCCCTCCCCGTTTCATGGCAGCCGAAGCAACAGCAAAGCAGAGGCTGACAAATGTACAAAGATTTTATATTCAAATATTCTGTTCTGTTACATATATTTCCTACTTTTCTTCCTCACATATGACTTCTGACATATTAATTACTGTCAACATTCAACAATTCTGTTTTCAGAAATTTAACTATTTATCTGGAACTGATAATGTTCACATGAATATCAATAGTTACCAAGTATCAATTGTCTCCACACAATGGTGCTTTCCTAGGGAGGTCTCAGAGGGATCGTCCTCTCTCTTCTTTAAGTTCTATAGATGCTTGGTTCTTGGCAACAATGCCATATTCCATGTTAGCACAGGACAAAGCTTAAAAACTGCCTTATAATATGTATGTACTTGTTTTTTAATCATCTGCATGCAGGGGTGGGTTGCTGCCCGCATTACTGCCAGCTTGGTGTGTGCAAAAAATTTGCTGAGTGCTGACTGTGTTAAGGGCCCCATTTCCTGGCTGTATGGCTAACTGGCCAAATATCTTCACATGTACCCTTCAATACACTTAATATCCTTAATTAATGTGCTCTGTATTAGAATCCTTGGGAGCACAACACAAAAGGTTTAACGTTATCATGGCTTTGCAGACAGCATGGGACATTTTCTAACTGCCAAGAGGAATATTTTGGAGGAGTTTTAGAGTATAATTTTTTATGCTGGACTTCTGACAAGACAACTATAATCTCATCAAGTAATGATCAAATAAATTGTTTCTATTCTGGTGAGATTTGTTGGAAAACCCAGAGAATTCCATCAGCATCCTTCCTGCACTATGTGAAATTGTGCATAAATATGGAAAACATGAATATTAAATATGCTGTGATTTTTTTATGATTTGCTAACAGTGTACCAAGAAACACAACATACTTAATTATTAAAAACCCTGGGAAGTAGTAGAAGTAAGTAGTAACTGTCTCCTCAATATCTGTTTGCAACTTCTGACATTAATCCCAGAAGAGGATTTGTACTGTAAGACTCTATGAGATAATCTGTGTTCTAGCTTTAAATGATAGCTTGCACTCACCACTATTGCTGCGTTGCCTATTTAGGACAAACATATTTCCTAGGCTGCCTCCTTCTTCAGGAACCTCTGCCAAATCTGATGTCTGTAATAGGCAAAAAGGCAACACACTGGAAAATTAATGACGAAGAAAATTGATATTAAACATAAGCATGCTACTCAGGAAGCTGTAACTATATTCAGGTATTAACAGTATTTATAAAATGGGAATATTAAAACATAAAAGTTTTTAATTACTCATGTTGACATACAAAAAAAGCAGAAAAAGAAAATTTGAGAACTGCAGAGACAAGAATTTAAATTTTACTAGAAATTGTATAATTCTTAGGGCAGCAGTTCTCAGTCCAGCAGTAATCATTTCACAGAGGTTATGTGGTATATTTTATTGATGCTTTTATTGTAAATTACTTGAATAAGTTGCAAAAGAGTCAATAGAACACTCAACAGAAATGAAATGAATAAACAACAACAACAACAACAACAACAACAACAACAACAACAA